TAGAGCCCAACTTTGTATTCAAGTTGAACCCTGAATTTTTGGTATAAAATAATTAGTTTTACATGTTGTATACCTTATGTACAAAAGAGACTCTTGTGCAATACTGGTAACACTATTACGGAAATGTTTAACCCCATGAGGGTCCGTGCCATAGATCTACGGCTTTACGTTGAGGGTCCAAACCGTAGATCTACGGCATGAGCTCAGCTCACTCTGATAAGTTGTGAGTGGTAAATTTTGGCCTTGATATGAGAGAATACATCTATGTGGTATGTGTGCACCACATAAAACAAATCCTACAGCACATAGTGCATAATGAGAGGAAACAAAAACTTAGACCGGAATTTTCGATTAAAACAGCAAATTTGCAGTGTTTTTACATGCGTTTTTTGTAATTGTATTCACGATTTCTTGGTCTCATTTGATAGAATGGAAGACATATTACAGAAATAGAGATGATTTTGATTGGTTTTACTACTGGAAATGGCTTGAAACTGAGCTCAAAGTAGCGGAAATGTTAAATTTTTGCCGGTTCAAGAGTAAACAAATGACCTCACACGTCTAATACACACTTGCTGGTGGGTCTAATATACGTTCACAAATGTGCTGATATTATTTATACAATTATTACAATATTGCATAAGAGTAATCTTCTGTTTTTTGGTTTGAATAAAAATTCATTGTGTGAATTAAAAATCAAAATCGAATTCATTAGTAAAGCCTGAAAACGTAACTAATGAACAGAGGAAATGTTAGTTTAGTGCCAGGAATGCCTGCATTATTTGTTCTGGACTGTATTTTGAAACTGGAGTATTTTGAACTTTGCATTAAATTGGCAAATTACCAATTTCCAATCACTTTATTTTGTAGTTGAAACAGTTGACTTGGCGAATTCTTGCACTCTGTCGATAGAATAGAAGCAATACTAGTGAAATAGCTAAGAATTTGGTCGACTGGAATAATGTAATTGGCCTAAAATGGGAGTCAAAGTCCGCAAAATAGCCGATGCGTAAATATCGCTGACACATCAAAATTCGCGAGCATAATTTCGTCACTTTTCCATCAAATTTCTTACTTTTTGTTTTATTACCTTCAGAAAAAGATTCTCTACCATTTCATAAGAAAAAATAACAAAATTATTTTTTGAAAATTCTTGGACACTGGTGCACCCTTGGAAATTTGGCCTCTGGACCCTGAAAGGGTTAACCCACCAGGGGTCTTTATTAGTAAAAGACAAACAGAAAAGCATGGAAATACAAGGCAGCACTGATGTCAGCTGTAGTATAGGCAGGGTGCAAAAATGGTTAACCCTTTCAGGGTCGAGAGGCCCTCTCCTAAACTTGTTCTCAGGGTTAAAAATTTTTGGGGAGAAAAAAAAATTATTTTTTCTTATGAAATGATAGAGAATCTTTTCCCGGTCATAATGACACCAAAAGTATGAAATTTGATGGAAAACTTATGGAATTATGCTCTCGTGAAGTTAGCAGTCTCGCCAATGTTTACGCATTGGCGATTTCGCCCACTTTGAGCCCTATTTTCGGCCAATTCCTGTGTACTAGTCGAGAAAAATCATATTTATTTCGCCAGAACTCCATTTTTTCTATCGAATGAGTACAAGAAACCACCCATTTACCAATTTCAACTATCCAATAAAGTGGTTAGAAATTGGCAATTTTGCCAATTTCACACAAATTTCAAAAGATGCCAATTTCCAAATAGGGTCCAGAATAAACAAGACAGACATTCCTGGCACTAAAATAACAAGTTCTTTGTTCGTTAGTCACGTCTCCAGGCCCCTCTTATATTTCTTTTGCTTTCCACTTTAAATTTTTATTCTTACAAAAAATAGAAGATTTACTGTTATGCAGACTACTGCATTAGTGTAGAAATGGTATAAATAATATCAGTGCACTTGTGAAAGAATATTAGACTCACCAGTTGATGTGCATTGGACGCTTGGCATGATTTGTTTACTTTTGAACTTTGGTAAAAATTGAACATTTCTGCTACTTTGAGCTCAATTTCAAGGTACTTTTCATTGTAAAACCAATCAAAATCATCTCAATTTCTGTAATATGTCTTCCATTCTATAAAATGAGCCAGGAAAACTAGAATACAACCATAAATACCATACGAAAATACAGTTTTTTTTCTCATTACACACTGTGTGCTGCAGGATTTTTTTTATACTGTGCACACTGACCACGTAGACCCATTCTTTCATAAGTAGGCCTTCCAGCTTTCTCTCGCTAGATTTGAAGATGCTGGAATTTAGGCGTTCTAGTATGTCAATAACCCTGGTGCGTAAGCCGTACTAGTACGTCGAAAACCCTGAAAGGATTAATGGGATTGTCTAATGGCTGTTTCCTGATGGCTATGTCTTGACTGCCTAAAATCAATTTAACCAAAACTCTGGAGACACTAAGGTACCCTGTATTTTGCATAACTGCACTGCCAAGACAATGACTAGATCTAAGGCATTCGTGTAGATCCTCTTCCTTGGTCGTAAGTATGACACCATTCCAGTGAATAATATAGGCATAATTAACATTTTCTGTATGGGAGGTGAATTTATGCTCAATAACATTAGTGTTTCTATCTATCTCTGCCACATGAATTTTCTTGCACCATCCACATGGTATGACAAATGCCAGTTCTGATGTGAACTAGACTTACAGGTTTCTTACTTGTAAAGTCTCTTAATAGTTGTGCTGATGGTAGTAGCTATTCAAGATTGCTCTTAGAAAATGCACTAAAAATATTAATAGCCATTTTAGAGTTGGGGAGTGTTGATCCGAGGAGCACAACATCTATGGCAGTGGTGGGCAAACTACAGCCCATGGGCCAGCCACATGTTTTCATGCGGCCTGCCAAGATCAAGTTTTATGCATCTCTGCACTCAGAAAAGTTTCAAAATCTGAAAAAAATTGCAAGAAAGTTGTTTGTGTTGTTTGCATCAACTTACATTTGTGAGCAGACTTTCTCTATAATGAAAGTGGCCCCTGCACTGAAAAGTTTGCCCACCCCTGATCTATGGTCATCAATGAAATAAGGGAACCTTAATTTAGGGAAGACCCAGTGAATGTAGTCAATTCTCCTCCAGGTATTCAGGGCTGTGTAGCCTATAGGCCCTCAGATGGAATCCAATGACAACTCGTTTTGTCTTGCTGTGTGAGCAGACACTAGGACATATTTACTTGAAAACATTTTGGTCTTGGGATATCTTTTTTAGCCCTTCTTTCAGTACAATCTTAAGAGTAGTCACTACCACTAGTACTTCCATTAAAGACTTAAACATTCAGAAACTCAAGTATAGTTGAAACTAAAGCTGGGGTTCATATCATGCCATGTGGGATGCAAGAAATTATATGGAAGACAACCACAGACTTGCTATACTGACAGGACTAGTCACATCCACTTAAAGAAGTGGAATGCTAAATTTGAAAATGGTTGGAGAAGAGTTGCATCTGCTTAGAAAGAACCAGCAGGCAAACTCTGGTGTTCTTCTATTAATGTTCTGTTCCAACAAAGGAATTAAAATGCTGGTTAGGCAGTAGTTATCGAAGGGAAGAATGTACAAATATGGACAAAAACTCCCTAGCTAAACAAGTGTTCTTCAGGTTAGGGATTATGTTTATAGATTTAAAACCATATGAAGTATTAACCATAAAAACAAATTAGCTTTAGGATCTCAGTCTTCTTGATTACATAAAGTACTTGTCAAATAACACATTTTTTGAATGTAACCCACAAACTTCTTACAAGTTGGGAGCAAATAAACTTGCACATACACAATACACAAATAACCCGCACATAAAAGAGAGACATGAAAGTGTTGAATGATAATCAAAGTTTTTTCTTTCTTTTTGGGTCGCCATGCCTCGGTGGGAAATGGCCGGTGTGTTAAAAAAAAAAAAAAATGTATACAAATAAATTACTTTTTTTACACCATTAAATATTTTTTTCATCGAGGTAGGATGACCCAAAAAAGAAAGGAAAACTTTCACCAGCTTGAAATTAAGGTGTACTCCAAGACAATCATGGAATTTATACCAATAAAAAGAAAATTACTTAAACACTGTACAGTCATCTGAGCTGTGATGTCAACATGTTTCTGGCAAGACAGTGATTGAATGGACGATGGTGAAACTGTTTCTCTCTTTCGAGTCACCCTACTTTGGTTTGAGAAGGCCAGTGTTTTTTTAAAAAAAATGCTTATTAGAGGCATGACTTGATGTTCAGTGTCATATGTCCATACCATAAGCCATAAAAGGCCAGGAGAAATGGGCCAGTAAACCCTTGTCCTGTATATATTACTTTCACTTTTCTTTTTGGGCCACCCTGCCTTGGTAGGATACAGCCAGTTTGTTGAAAGAAAGAAAGAAAAAGATTTAGTAATATTCACAAGCTGGGTCAAGGTACTAGTTTTTGTGATTGGTAAGAAAAACATGTAACAAAAAATAAAAACTTTGATAACCTCCAAAAGATGTCAAGCATAAAGAAAACTTCAAGACACAAAGCTGAATCAGTGGCCTTATTCTCTGTGGCCACTTCCACATAATCTAGCATCAATGTGAAATTTACAA